GAATCTCCCCAAGGCCAGTCTGGTTATAGGCACTGTTGTGTGCCATCTGCCAGCAGCAGAAAAAACTAACACTAAGCCCCTGACATAAGATACACTTTGCATACGATAAGCCAAGTAACACAACTGTGTATACTAGTCCATTTATATATCGTAAATGTCCAGAAAAGGCAAACATAAGAGACAGAACTCTACATCTGAAATAAGTGAATTTTATAGTATGTTAATAACTTCAATAAAGTTGTACTAAATATCACTATAGCTCTAGTCATAAGACAAATAACTAGAAGTTACTAAAATGACCACTAACAGTCAAATGGATAAATTATGATGTGAATGCTGTACATCTAATACAAATACAACAGAAGAATGTCACAAAATGTTGAACCCAAGAAGTCCTACACAAGAGTTTAATGGCAATAAGCACATTGTTATATAGTTATTCTTTTGTATGTAAAGGACAGAAAAACTCATTTACCCAACTGATAAAATATTCCAGAACTGAAATGAGATGATAAGCAAGATTACCTAAGTCTTTGTCACAAGTCACGTATACCGTATAACCGTATACCGTATATGAGATACGCCTGTATTCCTAGGAATCCACAATAGAGGATACACCACAAGTGATCTAGATATATGAACAAGAAAAACAATTTCAAACATATGGGGTACTTCCAACAAGGAACAAGATGTATGTTTAGGTCATTCTCACACTAGGAGAAAATAACAGGGTTTCTGCTAAGATGAAGGACTAGGAAGGAAATAGGATAAAATGCTTATCTAATGTGTTATCAGCCATTTGAGACATGGGCATTGTCACAGTGAGAAACCTGAGTTTCTGAAACCTGATCAGACTGCTTTATTTCTATAATTAGTGCTACTGTGTTTTCTGTAAATAATTAGTGAAATCCATTTTGAAATATTAGCCAATCTCAGCACTATTAAAAGAAGTCAGGGAAGGGGAGGCTTTCGAAGGGAAACGTTTAAGCCAAAAATGGCTTAGTTTGTGAACAAGGGTATTTCAGCTAAAACTAGTAACACATCTGTGAGTAAAGACTGGAATTACATATGCCTTATTTTTTCACTTAGAGATTCTCCATTCAGAGCACTTTTCCATTCAAAATATATAGGATTTTATTTTAACTAGACAATGTTCCAAGCAAGGAAGCTCAAACTTTCTGAAAAAACTGTTGACATTTCACACCATTCTTTATGCAGAAGCTCAGAAAGTGAGTGTTTTCTCACTGGAGTGACAGAAAAAAGGTGGGAATGTCTGTTCCTGTATACTTACGAACAGCACATACATTGTTTAAGGATATTAAAAATGAGAGGGTAAGTAATCAAAAGCGTTCAACATAGGATAAAATAAAATACTCTGATAATGAAACTATGAAAATTGATAAACATCTAATTCCCAGGTTTATTATGAACTCACTTGACTGTCTAGTCAACATTCCCAACCATTATTATTTGATAACAAGAATAACTGGAAATAGTAAAACAATTTTGAATTAAAAAAAAAGATGTAAAGTAAAAAACAAAATTTCAAGCAATCCATTATGTTTTTCATAAACTCCAATTAGATCTCATCTAAGTTAAATTAGATCATTGCATATTTGATAGTAGTATTGCATACCATTTGAAATCAAAGTCCCTGAAGAGTTCTATTTTACATGTATGTCTCAAATACTGCACATTTTTTGAATACATAGTACCCATTAGTCTTCCTCACAACAGTTTATAAATATTAGTTTCCTTTTTTATGATGTAGCTAGATGGGCAGTTTTTGTAAGGTTTGAAAATAACAAAAATTAAAATTAGTGGATAAAATGAAACTGGGAACATTAACAAATTAATTTAGGTAAATCACCCCTCCACTGCACTACCTAAGTGTAACAGACTTACAAGAACAAAAAAAATATTAAAAAAAGAAAGCAGCCAGGCCCCAGGCCTGAAAGTGACTACAAATTATACTACCCTTAGAATCTGCAAAATAGTACTTCTCTGGAAGGTGAATTAAACATTCAGGTTTTAAATTTTTTCATTTTTGCTCCTTCCATAAGGACTGCTCCTCATTTGTATATTCAAATCTGAACTCAAATGTTAACTTCTCAGGTATTCCTAAACTTAATGCCCCATACCCAGCTCTAATCTAACTTCATCCAGCATTATATTACACTACTTTCACTTCTTCACTGTATTATAATTAATACCACAACCCAGTGCCTAGAATGCTCCTGGATACAGAATGGATGCTCAGCAGTAACTCATGGAATATATTAATAAACACTGTTTTTGCAAAGCAACCTTTTGCTTGTTTCATATATACGATCAGGGTTAAATGAATGTACAGGAATAGGGACCAATCAATGCTATAAAACATGTTTCTTACTATTGTGGCTTGAAAAATGAAAGTGATGCTTTGCAATGTAATATTTAAAGACACCAAAAAGTTGCTTTATCGTGTGTACAATACTTATTTGTCTAAACATGTCAAGGGCTCTTATTTCAACTGAAGGAAACATTTCAAGCAGTTTGGAGTAAACAGGAATAAAAAGAATTCTGAAAATATCTTTTCAATATTAAAATAGTCATACCTGTAGAAAACACAAAAAGCAGTTGTAATTGCTGCACAAACTTCAAACACTGGAAGTATTACTCACTTATTTCAGTTAAAAGTCAACACTATAAACATGGAAATTAACCCACAATAATACTTTTTGAGAAGTTCAATGACATGAAAAAGGGAAAGCAAATTCTAAATATTAAACAGCCCAGGAAAGTGACTACCATAGTTTCCATTCCTGTATTTCACTGATCATGATACATAAAAATGCATGTAAGACAGTTTTTTTTTTTTTTAAAGATTTATTTATTTGTGCATACAGAACTCGCGTACAGGCCAGAGGCTCAGGGGCGGTGAGAGGCTTCACCAGAGACAGAGCAGGGAACAGAACAGGCAGATCAACGAAGTACACTGCTGAGGGGAGCAGCGGGCGGGTCAGGAGAGGTCTGCCACGCCATGTGGTCTCCTCCGGGGCAGGCGGGAATCAAACTCATGCAGAAGCGGCTTTAGATTCTCAGTGCTGTGCTTTAACCCGCTGCGCCACCAGGGAGGGCCGTAAGACAGTTTTTATATGCCCGTTCACAGAGTTAAATAGTTACTATAGCAGGTAAACTAATGAAGAGATGGGAATGAGGATTAGAAGAGTACCTATTTCTTTGAAAATTTAAACCCAACAGCTACCTTTTATTGAATGCTTATTGGATTCCAGGTAGTGAATTATTTCTTTTAAAAAGCAGAACCTGAGGCCCTCCCTGGTGGCGCAGCGGGTTAAAGCAGAGCACTAAGAAGCTTAAGCCACTTCTTCATGAGTTCGATTCCCATCTGCCTGGAGGAGATCCACATGGCGCGGCAGACCTCTCCTGACCCGCCCGCCGCTCCCCTCAGCGGTGTACTTCATAGATCTGCCTGTTCTGCTCCCTTCTCTGTCTCTGGTGAAGCCTCTCACCCTCCGCATCTCTGGCCTGTACCCCAGTTCTGTATGAATAAATCTTTAAAAAAAAAAAAAATGCAGAACTTGAACTCAAACCTTGAGATCTAACCCTGGATCCACAATATTTAAAGAGGGGGCAGAGCTGGATTAATTCTGAGAATGAATTACATATAATGATGTTTCAATCTCTCCACACTACACAACTATGTAACATAACAATTTCTGGTTAAAGATACAAGAAATAATCAATTTACTCCGTCATATGCTCCTCAAGGCAACCAAAGAAATTTTACAAGACATAATTTTTGTTCTGATTTTTAAACAAGAACTGCTTTGGTGAATGCCACGGTCTTCAACATTTTCTCCTCATCTCAATTTCCAAAGCAGGCCATGAGTAAGGAACCCAAGACATGCCACTCTTGGCAGACAGATGCTACCTTTCAAACAACAACAGCCAAAAAACCCCAAAACAGTCATGAAAAGCTTTCCACACAAAAAATTTGCCGCATACACAATACTTCTGCCTCATGTACTATGAAATATTAGCCGCAGAGTCTAAAAACCCAAGGAACTCGCGCATCAGCACACAATTATTTACACCAGTCACCAACTCGTTACTGGCTCCTAATCAAGTTGTCATTTTTCTAAGTAGCATAAAACTCAGGTTTTAAACTTTCCTTACATATTCCCAAAGCATTCTTAAGATAAAAATCTTCAATAATAATAATAATAACAATAACAATAATAATGTAATTTAATTGGTCAAGACTCAGTTATAAGCAGATTTTTGTCAGGACTGGGCAACGATCACACACAATAAAGGAGATATATATATTTAAAAGCATTATTTGTACTGGGTTTAAAAAGAAAGTTGTATAATTGAATTCAGTATCAAGGAACAGAGTCAATAATTAGAAAATAGTGTAACGAATGAGCAACTGGTTCAACACAAGGACAATTTAATAACCTGATCTGCAAAGACTTGTCTTTTTTTTTTTTTTAAAGTGAACTTTATCTTCCTTTTTCTAATTCAGATAGCAGATTACACTCAGTACATTTAAGTATTTGGTTTGCTAAACTAAGGTAAATCAGCTAATGACCCCATTTAATTATTCACTAGGTTGAAACCTTAGACTCACTTCTTTTCTTCTTCTTGAAACTGCATTCATAATTTGAGTCTATCGGCATCAAGATTTTGTCTATACTTCTGTATGTTCTGTAACATTCCTCTCCTCTGTTACGTCTCTGTTTTAAGTCAAAGAACTTAAAAATTACAGTAAATAGAAGTCAAATAATCTCATTCTCATAATTAGATTCTAAGTAATGTCAAAATGTTCTACTTGTCCAAACCTGCTGGTATCAAACAGGTTCTATTTACTCCAGTCATTGTTTACTGAATAAATCACTTTTAAATGGGGACAACTTGAATTATCTGACTGTTGTTTTACTGTATTTTACTATAAATGTAACATACATGAATGGTTAAGAGTAACCAAGTCTTACCTTTGTCAGTTGTTACTTTTTCCACGCATCTAAAAGAAATGAGAATCAAATATGAAACGAACAATCTTACATGTTTACTTAAAACACAAATACTCATTTCTTTTTGATTCATCTTCAAATGATACAGAAAACGTCTAGAGTAGTGCTATCCCACAGAACTTTTTGCAGTGATGAAAATATACTGTATCTGCTCTAATATGGCAGTCTTGTATGTGTCTACCAAGTGCTTGAAATAGCTGGTGTAACTGAGGAAATGAATTTTTAAATTTAATTAATGTAAATTTCAATAGCAACATGTAGTTATCATATTTGACAGCACACAGCTAGTGTGTAATTTCTAAACAGTTGTTTTTAAATGTAAAAAGCTATGAAACTGCTAATGTTACATTTATGAAGCAAAATGCCCTTATTTAACAAATGTACCAACGAGGAAGGAAATGAAATGTTTGAGACTGCCTTTAAATTAAACCCATCGAAAGAAAAAGCCAGGTAACGGGGATAGAAGTAGCATTATTAAGGCAAAATCTTGATGACTGTTAAAACTAGCTGAAAAAATACTGAGGTTTTGTTGTACTGTTTTGATCTATTTTGTATATGTTGACAATTTTCATAATAAAAATGTAATGAACCAAAAAGAAAATCTTTAAAGTATTCATTTGTCAAATCCAAGTCAAAATCTATTTCTAAAATATCTACGTTCTAAAACACTAGAACTGAGAAATAAATATAATTTGTACGTAACAAATTAGTTAGCTATAGTGGAGTTTAATGAGTTACCAACTGCTTTTTAAGAAAAAATTATTTCCCCTGTTCTTGATTTGGGGAAATTTTTCTCATACATAACTTCAATTATAGTATAATACCCACCCCAAACCAAAAAAACAACATGGCTTATGGATCCTTATTATGAAGATGCTTTTGCCTGTTACAAAGTATCTCTGAGTTATACAAAATTTTCTTCTTTAATTTGAAAGTTTAACTATGAAGATTCTTATATGTCACAAAGAATATTCAAGTATATACAAGTCAGAGCACAACACAAATTCTATTCTTTAGAATAGCTGTCATTTTCTCATTCCATGTTTTCTTTAAAAGCTTGGTATTATAATTTTATTTTATAATGTTAAATTTTATTACCAATGTGCCAATTAACTAACAGAAGGTAACTGTTCATCATCCTAGCTCTAAATAAAAAGTATCTACTTAACTGCCAAATTTTGAAACACACTTTCCAGAAAGCTTTTGGAAAGGTCTGCTGTTTCTATTACTATACTGATGGTCATAGAATAATAACAGAGGCTTTTATTTGGAGAATGAACCCTTCCCCAAAGTGTCATAAAAGTTTTTTTTTATAATTCAAACACTACCGGTCTATTCATTCTTTCCCCACTTTCTTTTCCTTACAAACAAAACAGCAAGAAAGTGTTACTCAAATGTTCACCATCACTTTACACTAGAAAATAGAGCAATATTTGTTTTCTTCATCTCTAACTCATCTAGACCTGAAGGAGTACCTCTAAGGCATCCTCAGCTGCTGCCAATGTAGTCACTCAACAGTTACATTATAATAAAAAAAAATTAAGTTTTAAATTCTGTAATACATGAAAACTGAAGGTTTCATTATGGTAAATTAAAAGTTTTTTTTTTTTTAATTTTAATGCACTTAGTTTAACAGTTACATTATGTCCACAGAAAGCACAGATGTTTTAATTTATGAGTGGGGAAAAATTGGTAGGTGGTATTTATTTTAAAAACTAAACACCTGCATTTGAAAAATAAGAATCTTAGCTCCAGAATTTATTAGCCAAACTACAGTAAATGATGAGCTTAATTCTTAGTACTTCTTCAATTTTGGTTTATAGCCTTTGGGTGTTCATTCATATTAAGTCTAGTACTTAAGTTGATGCCTTTCTCTTGAGCAGATTCACTGAAATATTTATTCCCCTTCAAAGATTTCTTACTATTCTCATTAACTTTTGAACAGAAAGCTGTTATAAGCTTTAGAGAGCTTATAAAAGCTATAGTTATCATCCAAGTATAAAGCTTATTTCAAAAATTTTCATTAATTATAGATAAAGGAGACTTAAGAGGTTAAATGACTTGCTTAAGGTTGCTTGTAAGCAGCAGAAAGCGAGATGATACACATTCTTACTATTAAACATTTCTTACCAATGCCATTCCCGGGGTTATTTTGCTTTTTATTTGGAAAGTAGTTTCAACTGACCCAAAAATCTCTGTATTTACTGATTTTAGGTTACTGTACACTTTCCTATTTCTTCAAAAACAAAAAGCAAACGTAGGTTAAAGAGTTGATTACTGGGATTTTATAGGGAGAAATGCTGGAATAAGGAAAGAGGACTTGAACAAAACAAACTCTTATTAAACATCTTCCTTTTTAAAAATCATCGTTACGGGGAAAATAGAGCTGATCAAGGTAAGAAGGCACTTGACCAGAGTTCAATACAAGGATACTCAAAAATCTCTTGAAATGCCTTACAGGATTAAGATTGCTTCCTACTAGTTTTAAAATGTATCTTATCACTTTTAAAATCTGTAAACCACACCCTTCTAACAAACCTCCACTAATCACTGTCTTCCCCTTGTACTCTAAGGTCCTTGAAGATAAGGAACGAGTCTCCTGTATCTTTATTAATGGCAGCTTTGCGCAGTACCAGGCTGCTTACTTCTCAGTACAGCTTACTTCTCAATGACGGCTGACAACAAATGCACTAGGAATCCTGACTTTCAGGCTATGCAATAATCCGAAAATTTGTAACAAAAACATTATGATTAAAATATTTTAACAATCCCATCAAAACTATAATTTTAAAATACATAGAGATAATTGAGGCTAAGAGAATGAAAATTATCTTTCATGATACAGAATGAGGAGGGCATTTGGAATGAAGACTTCCTCCCCCCCCCCACAAGAAATATTATGGAGATAAAAATTAAAGGGAGTCAATGAAGTCATTTTCCTCCAAGTAAACTTGGTAATATTCATATTGTGGAAGTAAACACTCAATTGTACTTTTTAACCAAGAATTCAGGGGGGAAATAAACTGTGACAGTAAGTAAAACTACCACTCTGTAGGTGTAATTTCCTTAGGAGGTCATTTAAGTAAAACTGATGAACAGTGCGATGGAAGTGAGATGAATAATCTCCAGTGGGTAAGAATAATAAGGATTTGGCTCTTAATTCTCTTATGTATTGTAACAAAAAAGCTCATTTTGCAGAATTTACATGAAAACCACTACACATTACTCAAATCTCTATTAACACCACCACTCTCCAAAACATAAACTTCTTGACAAATTTCATTACCTATCAGGCTTTGTGTTAAATGCCTCACCTAATTAACTCTCACAAACTCATCTATCTCAGGGACTAAGGACACCAAGGAAGGGCAGTTTAAAAAAAAACCTGTCCAAGGAATTCGTATTTAAAGCAAGCTATACTTTTCAGGTGTATCAACTGCAGAAGCTCATCATATTTTAGAGTATGGAAGTCATCCTCAGTAACTAGAATCCTAAGTGCAGTTGAGAGATGCATTACCGACTTTTCATTGGGGACCTGACCGCCACTGTAGCCGACACAAATTCTTTAAATGATACTAACAGTCGGAAACGCGCAAGCACATCTAATATCCCGCCAGGGCACTTTTTGGGTTGTGTTCCTCTTTCTGGGAGCGTAAAGGAAAGCCCGTCAAGGGAACCTAGTTAACTTCATCTGAAACAGGAATTCGCCAGGTTTGGGTGTGTTATGAGCTAAAAATCTTGCTCCACTTTCGGCTGGGGGGCTTAAGGGGGAGGGGTACACTGACACCCCCCCCAACCCGCCTTCAATTTTCGCTGCTTTTGCCATTTTATTTCACATACAAGTCAAAATCACACAAACGACGTTTTGAGCCATATACTCAAGCAGTTAATTTGAATGAAACGAGTTGGGCTACATTTCTGTAACTCACAGACAAGCATGCGCCCGCACATCTAACCCGGGACCCGCGAAACAACCGATTTTCCTGGTCCTCTGTTACAGCTTCCTCTTCCTTTCGGATAAGCCTAACTCGGGATGAAGCGCTACAGACGGGAAAGCAAACCCCAAGCAGAAGCCACACGCTCCTCGACAAGAACAAATTACTCCTCTTAGTAAGCACCAGATTTCTAAAACGAGTTTAGAGTGATGAGAAAATCTAGTAGGATTAAAAAAAAAAAAAAAGGCGCTACACACGGATACTAGCACTAGAAGTACCGCTGCCTAGTGCTTGAGCTAACTGGTGGGGCGCGGGACACCCCCGAAAGCTAAGGTCGCGCGATCTGTTTCGTGCGGGGATGTGATGTAATACGGGGGGGGGGGGCGCCTGAAGCGGGACGGGGGCAAGCGGGCAAAGGGGCGCTGACGCCGGAGTGCGGGGCGAGCCGGCGGCCGGCAGGCGAGCGGGGTCCCGGGAGGGGCAGAGGCGCGTCCCACAAAGGCCGACTGCACCGGCAGGTCCCGGGGCGGGAGAGGGCGCCAGGACGCGGGCGGCCGGGCCGGGCCGGCAGGGGGCAGCGCAGGCGCGGTCACGTGGAGCGGGCGCTACGGGAGCCGAGAGGGCGGCGTGCGGACCGAGGGGGGTCTCTCCCACCGCCTGAAACGCTGCGTTACTCACTGGAGTCGCGGACTCTTCTTGCCCTGAGCTGGAGACGGGGGCTTCGCGGCCTGGGACTGCGGCCCCGGGGCGTCGGGCGGCCTGGCGCTGGGGCTGCTTCTCCGCCGGCGGGGGTACTCGGCCTTCCTCCGGCGGG